AGAGGATTAGGTGGTCTCTACTCTTTCTTGAACTTGCTTAATTGCTTTGGGCTTGCTAATTGAAGCTTGCTTGTTGGTCTTGGACTTGCTAGTATAGCCTTGCTTGCTTGATTTGTTGGCCTTGAGAGCTACATCCTTGTTGATCTTGATGCCTTCTAGCTTTGCTTGCAATTCTCCTAGCTTCTTCCTCTCATTTGCTTCTTCTCTTTGCATGTCAAAGGTCAAGATCCTCCCAAGTACATCATTTGGTGTGAAGTACTCAAACCTCTTCTTGTCTCTAATTAGAGTTACTATAGTCTCATTTTTTGGTGAATAAGCTTCCCACATAATCTTGACAACTTTATGATCATCTAGCTCATTACAACCATAGCCTCTAATCTTGCCCACCATGGTCATCAACCTATCAAACATCTCTTGTGGCCCTTCTCCATCCAAGATAACAAATCGGTTGAGCTTGGACATCAACAAATCAATTCTTGCTTTTCTCACTTTGTCAACCCCTTCACGTGCAAGATGCAAAGTATCCCAAATTTGCTTGGCAACATCCACACCAATCACTCTATTGTACTCATCACCATCCAAGGCACTAAGTAGCACACTAGTAGCTTGACCGTTGAGGCGGATGATTCTCATTTCTTCCATGGTTGGATTCTTGGGATCAACCGGTGGCTCAAATCCATTGCAAACAACCTCCCAAATGTTGGGATGAAGATCTATAAGATAGGCTCTCATCAAGTGCTTCAACTTGGCAAAGTTAGTCCCACCGAAATGAGGTAACTTGCTCGCGGGCACATTGATGAAAGACTTGCGATCATGGTTAGTCATAGACATAGAAGAATAGTTAAAGGATACGACGGCATATTTATTGTCATCATTCTTCTTGCCCTTTCCTTTCTTGTCCTTCTTGCTATGCACTTGGTAGGACTCATCATCATCACCAACTTCGGAGTTGCTAAATAGCTCACTTGAAGATGCATTGGAGGCTTTTGCTTCTTGTTCCTTCTTCTTTCTTGCTTCTCTTCTTTTTCTTCTAGCTCCTCTCTTGAGTCTTCTTTCTTCTTTTCTTACTTTCTTCTCTTCTAACCGCTGCTGCTCCTTCGTCTTCTTTTCTCTTGCTTCTCTTTTCTCTTTTCTAGCTGCCCTTCTTCTTCTTCTTCTTCTTTCTTCTTTATTTTGAGCTTTTTTGGCATCGGTTGCCTCTAGCTACGGGAGCATGGAGTTGCTCATTGTAGAGGCGCTAAGCTCACTGCTGTCGGTGTCATGCAGTCCAACATCCTCTGGATCAATGTTGATAGGCTTCATAACACTGGATCCTCCCTCGGGCTCCATACCTCATGCGGTGAAGCGCACACGAGGTAACCCGCTCCGATACCACTTGTAGGATCACTGGTACGCCTAGAGGGGGTGAATAGGCATGTAAAAATTCAACTCAAAATGAAGTCAAATTCACCCGCGGCACTGCCGCTCTGTGAGCGCGGCACTGCCGCACCTGCAGGAGAGATTAGTTTATAGTTAAAAATCTATCTAGCGAAATTTAGATAGGGTAAATTTCTTAGCTTCCTGCAGGGTAGTAGATCACAGATCGATAGCTGAAGGTGGTAGGAACACCACACACAAGTAGATCAACCTCAAACTCTAGAAATCACCTCAACAACAATATGTCAAGCAAGTAATGTAAATCAAGCACAAGTGACATAATGATTTATCCCGTGGTTCGGCTCGCCACCAAGGCTTGCCTACCTCCACGTTGTTGAGGTTAGCCACCAAGGCTTAGAGCTTTCCAGCCCTTCCTCATTCTCAAGTCAAGAGACTTACCTCTTGAGATGAGGGGTGAGTTTGCTAGCTTTAAGAGATGGTTACAACTCTCCTGGGGCTGCCACACAAGTTGGCAAGCTCCACGGGCGATGCTCTAGCCGGCTAGGAGCCAAGCTCCAAGAGTAACAAACACAACCGTCGGCTAAAACGTGAACCAAGTGCTCTTTAGAGTTTGGGAATCAAACTTGTTGCTCTCTAATCAAGTTGTGGACCCTTTTCCCTCAAGGATTGATGGAAAAATCAATGGATTTGCTTGGGGGCTGTAGGTCAACAATGGAGTGAGAGAGAGAGCTCCTGCTCTGTTTTGGGCGTGCTGAAGTGAGGAAGAAGAGAGCAGTTTACCGCTGGGAAGGAAAGGGAAAGGTATATATACCCCCAGCCCCCAACGGTCACTTAAATCACATATAGCTGTTGGGGAAGAAGAGGAAAGATATATATACCCCCAGCCCTCAACGGACACTGCACCCAAGAGGTCGGGCGAGATGGAGCCCGTGACCAAAGGGTCGGGCAAGCCAAAGCCCGCGACCTCGGGGTCGGGCGAGACGGAGCCCACGACCAAAAGGTCGGGCGAGCCGAAGCCCGCGACCTTGGGGTCAGGCGAGACAGAGCCCGCGACCAAAGGGTCAAGCAAACCGGAGCCCACGACCAAGGGGTTGGGCGAGTTGGAGCTCGCACCCAAGGGGTCGGGTGAGTCAGAGCTCGCACCATGCAAGACAGTAAGGATAATAGTGAAGTGTGGACTGTCTTGGCTGTGAATCTAAGGGTGCTTGTAGTTGTTTGAGCACTTGGTAGCACATATTAGCTTAAGCATTGTGTCTCCCTTTATAGTACGACTTTTTCTATAATCAAATTCAAGATATAAAAGAATCTTATACCTCTTTTGAGTTTGAAGCCATCTATATTTGTAATTGGGGGCTCCTTCGTTTCGTGTAGCATCATCGAATATAAATTCTCTACTTGTCATCTCGATAAATCTCATTAGTTCTCTAATTGCGTGGTCATTATCACCTAAACCCATAATTAGGGCTTGATTGCACTTTCACTAAGCACCATATTGAGACCGGGTCTCAAGGGTGGGGGCTTGGAGTCCAAGTTTGGACGGGGACCTAGACCCCGTGACAGGAGTGGAATGGGTTGGTTTTGTTTGTGTCTAGGGTACAAACGGGATGTGTGTTTTAGGGTACCCAGCTGGGATACATTGGTTCGCGAATCACCGTTTCCGTGAGACGGTACAACTTGGCTATGGTGTAGCACCGTAGTAAGAACTAGAAGATGAAAGATGGTAAATTGGTTCTGACTGCTTAACCCTTGCTTGAAAGTAGAACAGGTGCTTACTTAGAATGGTTAGCTAATTAAGTAATCATGACTTCTAATAAAACTTGATCTTAAGGACGTACTTTTAGTAATGCTTTTCGCAAACAAAAAGAAAACAGCAAACCCATATTGCCTATCATACCCCTTGAAGTCAGAAAACTATTCCCACTAGTCGGATAAGTCTTGCGAGTACATTGTGTACTCAGAGTTTATTTTACCCTGTTGCAGGTGCAGCTTGAGGAGTAGCTCTTGTGTGGATGATTCTTCTGGTGGGCACAGACGGATCCTTATATCGTTTCCGCTAGATATTTATTTTTGTTCCGCTGTTTAATTATCGTACTCTGAACTCTGGTATTGTAATAAATAACTTTCAAGAACTCTTGTTGTATAAAATGGACTAAGTATTGTAAGCTCGTACTCATTATTGGATTCTGGAGGGAAACCATGGATTAATTCGAGTTCTCCCATGAGGTGTGCTCGATGGAACTGTCCGATGTAGTTAACTTTCGGGGTGCTTAGTGTCTAGTGGAAGACGAGCGCCTCCGAAAGCGTGTTATTTCGGACGGTTCTGCCACAGGGAGGAGATGGGGCGCGTGGCTCACTGTAGGGGAATGGGCAGCCGTGGGTCGCCGGTGGGCGCGCGTCTCGGGCAAGTGCGAGCCGATGGGAAAGACAGCCGTGAAGTGGGTGCATGGGCGTGCGACGTCCGGATAAGGACCGCTGGCAGGAGCGAGCCGCGGAGAAGCGAGGTGGGTGTGTGGGCGCACGGCTTGCGGATAAGGATGGACGCCCATGTCAGAGTATTATCGTGTTCAGCTCAACTAGTAATTAGTTCTAGCTCATCTGCGCAGGCCCTTATATTGCTGCTGCTGCCTCCTGCCAAGAAAAATAATGTTTCAGATATGAACCTACAGCCTAGTCATCGGGCACTACTGGAAACCTGAAATTCCTTGACGGTTTCAAATTTTTTGAACAGTTATTACATAAACCGTCACAGAAAATACGTTATCTTGACGGTTTCAGTAAAACACACACAGAAAATAACATTACCTTGACGGTTCCTGGAAAACACATAGAGAAATTAAATCACCGTCAGGGAAATTCATAATTAACTTATGAGTACACATTACCGACAAGAAAATTCATAATTCCCTAACAGGTTGGACTTTTTTTGACGATTATTGCATAAACCGTCATGGTAATTAACATTATCTCGACGGTTTCCAGGAAAATTCCTAATTAACCTGGAAAACGCAGACATTTTGCAATTTCCCTGTCGAGCCAGCCCTGATGGTTATTCCCTGACGGTACACCGTCAAGAAAATTCATTTTTAATTTCCTTGTTGGTATTTTACATTTTCCTGTCAGTAATCGCACCGTCAGGGAATTTCGCGTTCGAGTAGTGGGGTAGGGTACACGGGTCATCTTTACTCTTTCGATCCACCAAGAAACCTGACCGCCTGAATGCCTGATCACCATGTGCTCTTGCATTTGGTTTTGTGCTGTCCACTCTATTGATTCCGATCACATCGGCTTCATCGACCAGTTAACAGCAGTACATACACGTACTATGCGCCACCGCCATCAGAGGACAGAGATTCAGAGATACCCCAACCACGCATCATATCCAAGTATCCATTCTGCACACTGAATAATTGACAGACAGATCACACTTATTTATACTACTCCCTGACGTACATGTCAATGTGACAATATATATCCATTATACAACCGTGTAACACAAGCACAGGGCACAGTCGTTGTTGCCTCTAGGAGTATTTGACAGCATATGATGGTGTATTAATACTGTGCACCTGACGACGAACAGGGACAAAAGGCTGTACCGAACCGAGAAGAGGAGGCCGGATCATCTAACGCTTCTCCCTGGGGAAGCCCAGGAGGGCAAGGATGAGGGCGATGAAGCTGCCGTTGATGAGGCCCCTTAGGATCTTCTGCTTCTCCGTCGTGTAGGGCGGGTACCTGGCGTTCGCCTCGCCGCCAAAGCCGCGGATCAGGACCCCCTTCTTGTGGCTGAAGCAGTCGAAGCCGAACTTGCCGTGGTAGCACCCCATCCCGCTGTCGCCCACGCCGCCGAAGGGCATGTACGGGTTGGCGAGCTGGGTTGCAGGATCAGGACGGGAGCAAAGTTAGACCATCACTGCAAACACTATGTTTTGCTTTTGCAGCTGTTCATTTTCATTTGGGAGAGTTTGCGGGGAAGCAGAGCTTACATGTAGCACGGTGTCGTTCACAAGCATCCCTCCTGCAGGGACGTTCGCCACAAACTCCTCTTGCAGTTTCTTGTTCTTGGTGAAAAGGTAGGCGGCAAGTGGCTTAGGCTTGGCGTTGATCAAGTCGAAGCTTTCCTCAATCTTTTCGACCTGGAAACACAATCCCGAAACAGATTCAGATAAAAGTTTTACGAGTTTATTCAACTACAAAACGAAAACATCACAGAATTTTTTTGCCCCTCAAACTAACATTCAAAACCAAACTTTCGAATTAAGACTACGTTTCAGTGTTGTACTCCTTTTAACAGTAAGTGCTGAACTTGAACTGCATTCCTATTGTGTTTATGTACACGTGGTTTTTAGTTCAGAAGTAGGTTTCTGAGTACTAATGGTGATAGCAACATTATCAGTCAGAGTAACACAGGTGCCCAAGCACAGACTACTGCAGATTTGCAGTTGTTCTATGAAGGGAGAGAAATATTACTGACCGTCACAATCGGAAGCAAGGGCCCGAATATTTCCCCCGTCATAATTGCTGAATCTTGGGGAACATCTAACAATAGTGTAGGAGCAATTTTTCTGTGACCCAAGAAAAAAAAATGTTAACATAAATCAAAGAGTTTGCACTACTGTATCTGTACCTGCAAAAGTGTGATTAACAATCCTTACAATTGCTCCTCATCAGCCTCGCCGCCATACACAATCTTGTCAGCAACTCTTTTTTCTTCTATCAAATCTTGCAATCTCTTGAATTGCTTCGAATTCACAATACGAGACAAGTCTGCTGATTGCAGAGGATTCTCCCCATAGAACCTTACCAAAACTCTTTTCAAAGAGGCCACCTGCCAACGATTTACATTTACTTCATGGATCAGATATTGGAAGTTTAGTTTCATGCTTTGTGCAAGAGATTCTGTGTCTGTAATGCTCATGGTTATCTATACCAGCTCTGGCGCGAATGATTTCGTCGTTATTATGTAATCTGGAGCAATGCACGCTTGGCCATTGTTGCATCCCCATTTGCCAACAACAATCCTCTTAACGGCAACCTACAGTGAAAATACCGGTTCTGTGATAACTAAATGATACTTTTTTTTAACAACATGATAGTTCACAGAGAGATGCATTTACATGAAGATCAACATTCGAATCCACAACAACAGGGCATTTCCCACCAAGCTCCAGAGCCACCGGGGTTAGATGCTTTGAGGCTGCTGCCATCACTATGCGTGCTACAGTTCCATTACCTGGAAAAGATCATCAAAACATATACAAGTCAGAATCTCAAGAATAACGTACAGTTCTCTATCAAGGACTTTCGGATTATATTAGAAGAATCTCGTAATAACTGTGTGATGGCTAATGCCTGTACAAATGAAAAGTGCATGTGTCATAGCATTCAGAGTCCGCGATGATCTTTATTCAGTAAATTGTCTAAGAAACTGAAAGAATCACTGAGCCATGAAATTCATAAGTATTGTATTAAGAACTTGACCTGTGTAGAAGATCTTATCCCATCTCTGTTCCAAGAGTGCGGTTGTTTCTGGAACGCCTCCCTCCACAACTTTAATACAGGAGTTATCAACATACTCGGGTAGCAGCTTTGCTAACAATGACGAGGTAGCTGGCGCTATTTCTGATGGCTTCAGAACAACAGCATTTCCAGCAGCGATTGCTCCAATGACTGGGTCAATAGAGAGTACTACAATGGAGAAGTACAAATAATTAGTACTATTTCTTTTTTTTTCCTTCTTTTGAATTATCAAGGAAAAGTCTATCAGGCCAAAGATATTTTCTTCACAGCATGCATATAGGAAATAATAAAAGGTCAAAGCATCGGTTCTTCTAGTGGAGTTTGCGTTGAAAACGAGCTCTAAATGAATGTTCAGATGTTGACTAGAGGCCAATTATGACTAGTGACGTGCCTGAAAGAAACTAGTGCGTTTGCGTACAGCTTGCTTTGTGGAAAAGGAAAGATACGAAATATCACATAATACAGCACACCCTCAAGCATGGGGCACGGAAGCATAAGAAATTCATGGCAGGATCTTCTAGCAGGCTCCAACTCCATCACGCAACAACGAACTGTTTAATAACTACCTTATCAGGTGTTTTTTTTTAACGAACTAGCAGGAGACCCATCTATTTCTATTTGAAAAAGCTTTTGCAGCTTAGAATCATCAACTTACTGAAGGGGTAGTTCCAGGCTGAGATGATGAGCACGACACCGAGGGGCTCTGGCACGATTTGAGCGGAGGACGGGAATGTAGTTATGGACGCAGGTATCTGAGCAACGAATGAATTCCAAAAGGTTAGCTCCAGACCAGCAGCGAAACAGTGACAGCAGCAGGAGGAGAAATAAACATGTCTGCAAGCTGGAGTTCCGTGGCACAACAAATAAATACCTTCTCGGGCTTCATCCAGTTCTTGAGCCCGTTGAGCGCAAACTTGCACGATGACTTTGTCAGTGAGATCTGAGGAGGCACAAACAAACACAGGTGAAGCAACATGCGGTTCTCAGTTGGTACAGTACTCCTACTAGGTTAGGATGAAATCAATCTTGATGTGACTATTACTGAGAATTAGTAAACAATCTCTCAGATTTAACTATTTTTTACTGCTACCGTATGGTGCATGATTTGCTAAGTGCTGCTGCATTCGGAGACAAGTTCAGCGTGAAATCATTGTCAGAAACGACTGTTGACAAGCACGTCTCAGCTCCACCGTTTTTTTTTTTTTGCTGTTTTTTTTTTTACCACCGCTACTACTAGAGCACAGTACATGATAGCTTAGTACAGCAAATGTATCAGGCAAGGTATGGTAAATTTTGCGGAACCGGAAGACCAGGCTGAGGTTGAGTGAGACGCGCGAGACCGTGGAAGCAACGGCACCAAGAACCAATTTACACGCAACGCAAAAGCCTTTGCAGAGTCAGTCCCCACAGCGGTTGTGGGCATGCTTATAAGAAATTGACTGAAAAAGCACGCAGCTTTCCCAAAACACGGCGACAAGGAAGAGAGTCCGCCGAAAACAGGGAGTGGGATCATCACAATTCGCGATTCAGAACAGGAGCCCTGCCGCCCCCTGTCAGAAGAACAGGTCCAGGGCGCACGTCAGATGGAGTGGACGGAGTCCATGTCTATCCGAGAAGAGAGGGAATCACATCGGAATCCAAGGCCTCGTCACTCGAACGAAGATGAGCATCAGCGGTTTGGTTTGGATTGGATTACGAATTGGAATGAATGCCCGAGAGAGAGCGCGCGTGCAAGCCCGGCCAACAACAAACACTAAACCCAGAGGAATCGGAGGACTCCGAAAGTACGAAGCAGAGCACTAGTAGCGCTAATCCTGTCCCCACGACGAACAAGAAGAATCAATCAGCAGCGCCCGGGGAACAGGAGGAATCATTGGGGAGCGAATCAATAATTTTATTTTACCTCGTGGAGGTAGGACTCCATGTGCGGCTTGGCGAGGTCCTCGTGGAGCGCGGCGCTGATCTCGGCCTCCTTCTCGTCGATCATCCGGATGAGCCCCTTGAGCTGCTCCGCGCGCCACTCCGCCGGGCGCGTCCGCCCCGCCGCGAAGCTCGCGCGCAGCTCCCGCACCGTCTCCTCCGCCATCACCGCCTCTCCTTCCTCCCTTCCTTCCTCCTTGGCCCTTCCTCCCTTCCTCCCTGCCTCCGGGTCCCGGCAATAGCGGAGCAGAGCAGCAACAAGGGAAGGGGAGTTCGGTGGCGGTAGGAGCGACGCCTGCTGCGGCGGCGGCCGTGTGTGTATATATACACGCACACCCACGCGCTCACCGGATGGATGGATTGCCCGAGGGGTTGGATTGGACTGTTCGTTTGGTTTGAAAAAGTTATCTCTCGCTTGCGGGGCCGCCAGCAATCCCTTGTTGAGGTTGGACTTTGCAGGGGAAGAAGATAATTGCCAAGAGGGAGAAGACAGGAGAGACGAGAAGAGGAGAGAGGTTAAATTAAAAAAAAAATCTAATCTTTTTCAGTCTCCTCAACTGGCTGGAGGGAGGGTGGTGGGCGATGGCATGTGTTTGGACTTTGGGGGATGGCGGTTGATATTTTCGTCCCCCTCTCCATCGCCTCTGAGTCTCTCCGTCCCACACGAAAACCAATACACTGTATGAAATTACAAAAATGTTTCCTTTTCTTTTTTTTATGACTTTTTTTTTATTTTCTTGGCCCCACTCGCTGGCAGCAGGGACGTGCTACTGCTGTTACGTACAGTACGTCTACGGATGGATACCTATAAGTGAACTTTAGAACGTCTACGAAGGAGACACGGGCCTGTAAAAACAATCGTCACCTGTCACCTCTCTCTCTAGGTTTCGGTGCCGTTTCAAGGTTATTACTAGTTTACATCTTGTCTCGGTAGTACTAACTATGAAAGAATATAATTTTAGCATAGTACCATAGTTTAGTATCCTACGTTCGATCAATTATAAAAAAAATTAATTTTATGATATTAAATAAATATTATTAGATTAATTATAAAATTTATTTTTATAATAAACTATTTTTGAACCATAGATTTGAAAAACATTCATTAAAAAATAGGAGTAATAAACAAAATAGTAGGTTTGAAGAGGGAGAGAGTGTGTGTGTGGATGTGGATTAAACAAGTCGTTCTGTTCGCTTAACTTATAAGTTATGATTAAAAATACTGTTGGTTGATTTATTATGAGAGAAAAATATTGTTGTTCGTCTAACGAGGTGTGCGTAGTTATGGGGCCGGCGTAATCGCGACAGGCTCTGTTCCTGATATGGCGGAGGCCCCATCCAATCCCACCCAACTGTCCGCCAGCGACAGCTCGGTTTCTTGTGGTTTGCGCGTGATAAGAGATGTAGTTATATACTCTATATACGAGTAGTCTCTGATTGATATACGAGTACTCCTGTACTGTACGCTTGCTGCAGATGAAATGAAATGAAATGAGCGACAACGGGTACGGTGGAGGCGGAAATGAACATTGCGATGAACCAGATCTTCTTGTCCGCGACCGATCCGTCGGCCTCTAGCACTAGCACTAGCACTGGCACTAGCAGCGACTGGCTGTGTATGGGGCCTGGCTTGGCGTTGAGGCCGTGCTGCCAGTAATGCCGGAAAACGAGATTACGACCATTGCACACGGCTCTGGTCGCTGGCGCTGTCATGCATGCCCGTCTCAACGACGTGGCTGTTTTGCATCCACCCGTGTGGCGTGCGTGAGCTGACCTGAGCGGCCTGGCCCCCACTCTCCCGCAACGGCCGGAAACCCCACCCACCCACCCACGTGTGCGACCCGGTGTGGTGTGTGTGGACGGGAATCTCGCGTCCGCTTTCCGGAAGGGAGCCTCTGCCGCCGACTGGGGACAGTTCGTTAACGGTGGGCCCGACGTCGGGCCACGGAATCACGGTCACGGGTGGGGTGCTGGGAGCCTGGGACCGGCGGCGACGGCTTCGCGCCAGGCCAGGCGAGGCGGACCCGATCGATCACAGAGAGGCCCAAACAGGTTCCGAGCCCCCATCGCAGCACACGTCACGCGGCGCCGGCCTAAACAGACCCGCGCGTCTGTTACGCTCGCCTCCACCAGCTGTCTGCTCACGCGAGATAGAGTCATTAATTCAGCCTGCTCGCTGCAGCTGGTTGACTGTTTCTAGTATTAATTCCAAGTATTTCGCTACAGTAACCCCGTTGGCTCTTCTCCTCCGGCCACAGCGTACAGTTGCAGCTGAAAGAGTGAGTCGATCGCTAAACAAACGGATCTTCTATATATAAAAGAGAGAGTAGTAACAGACTGAAGTAGTGAACTGTAAGGCCCCCTTTGGACCATAGAAAATTTTCTTGTTTCCTACGTTTTTTCCGTGGAAATGAACTTTACGCTTGTGAAAATCCTTGCACAAAATCATTGTCCTATTCGTTTGGCCGATAAGCCATGGCTGAAAGTACTATTGGCTGATTTGTTGTGAGAGAAAAATATTGTTCGTTGCTTGAAAAAGTACGGCTTATAAGCCAAGCAAACAGAGCGTATGTGAAATTCCTGCCATTCAAAAGGGCTCTAAACAGAGAGTACTAGCCCTGCACGTATACAGGTGCATATATTCATATTGGCATTGGACCCATACAGAAGCGCAAATACGATGGGCCTATTTGGTACCCGTAAAGTCAGCAGCTGTACGATGGGCCTGTTGAGTACCTGTAAAGTCAGCAGCTGTTTCTAGTTTTCTGAGAGATATCCCAAGCTGAAAATATCGAACAGCCAACAGGTCCGATATTTTTCAAAAAAAATATATAAATATAAAAATAATAGCAACCTGCGTGGGTGGACCCAAGACTACCCCAAAGGAGGTGCTTTATACCTATGTTCTAGCTAGATTGGTGCTGAAACGATTAAATTTGGCTTCCTAAATGATTTTAGCTTTGGCGATCTATATAAATAAATATATGTCCATTTTATACAGGGAGTTCTCCCCGACAATCAAGAAATTGCAGTTAAGGGATTGTCGCGGACTTTTCAAGAGCTGAGGAACGAAATAGTTTCTGTTGCTAAATTGCGGCACAAGAATATAGTGAGAATGGTAGGTGTGTGTCTGCACTCTAGAAAGCCTAGAAAGGCTAATCGTGTCGGGAGTGAAGAGCAACCCTAGCCGTGGGGCGGACCCGCTCAAATTCTTGGTTTGCAACGAAAATATGTCTTCTTTCGAGTAACTGTAGAGATCCATCGGTAATAAGCCGCCGCTTACATTTTATGCTAGTTCTGCCCCTGTTCTAGCCTCCTATCACCTTGACCCGAATTCTGATTTTGGAGATTGCCACAGTCCACAGGAAAAAGAAATGGCACACAATATATTACGAACACTAAGATTTTATGACGGTTTCGGATTCGTCATTAAAATTTTCGTCATAGAAGTGGATATTTCTATTAGTGACTACGATGGCCCACGTGCATAGGTGCATGCGGCTCAGTCCACACGCCTCCTCCTTATCCCACGCGCATCCTCTTCTTCCTTGGCGTTTGTCTTCCTCCTCACGACCCCCGCCTTGCCTCCCCCGCCGCCGGCCATGTCGTCCACCTCCTGGTCTCGCTCCTCGACGATGCCCTCCTCCTCGTCCTCGCCCCCGCCACTAGGCCACCACCCCCACTACGGCTGATAGGGTCTCGCCGGAGCTCTGCAGCGACCTCCTTCTTCCCCTTCCCCCTCCCGCCGCCGCCATGGCCATGAGCGCCCCTGCCCGACCTGGCTCGTCCGCCTCCTACGCCGTTAGAACCCCAACCGCCCTTCCGCCGTCCTCACCGTCTGGCCGGCTTGCCTCCCCCGAGCCCCTTCTAAGCCCATCGGAGTTGGCGAAGAAGAGAGGGATAGAGAAGGCACGGGGTCGCGCTGTCGTGATACAGCGCGACCTTCTTCTATGGAAGCGGCAACGACAAGTGAGTTGGCCTGCATTTTTCTTGTCTTCTTGTGCGTGCACGCGAAAACGTCAATAAGCATTTCCGATATATTACTCCGTCCGTTTTGAAAAAAAAAATCATTCCTCATTGATGTTTAGCGGCCGGCTCATTCTGTCTGGCCTCTAGATCATATGCAGTGCAGTGCAACCACCAAGCACGTGGGTCGAGTTCGATCGTTAGTGGCGCGATGTGGCCCGGACATATTGCGCATGGGGAGTCGGGGAACGCGCGACGACATGCGTATGGGAGAAACTGATGCATGGTCCCAATTCCCAAATGACGAGTGATGGGCTGCGCCGCGGCCCATCTCATCACGCACGACCCAAGCGCTCGCTCACACAGACAAACCGTGTGGCCCTTGCTTGAATAGTACTACCTCTGTCCAAGTAAGAATGCAATTCTGGGTCTTTTTGGTTTTCGTGTCTAAAGTTTGACCGAATATATAGGTAAAAATATTAATATTTGTGACACTAAATAAATATATTATGAAAATACATCTCATGATAAATCTAATGATGCTAATTTTATATCATAATTATTTATATTTTTTACATATAATTAGTCAAACTTGATAAACTAAAATATTGCAATGTACTAGAATTACATTATTTTGCGAACGGAGGGAGTAGTTTATACTACTCCACCATACAATCTTAGCGACGCGCAAACAACTTAATGAAGTCCAAGGATCTAGGCATGTAAACGACGATACTCCTACTCACTTCTTACTCATATTCAAGAAGCTTGTTTGATTAACCGTATGAACGTACAAGTCGTTGTGGTTGGGGGGCGTCAATGAATGAACTTTTCCTGCACGAATGATGAATCTGTGCTGCGTATTCCTTAGGGCCGGTACGGTACAGCTCAGCTTCATCAGTGAACCAGTTTTGTTGGTTTTAGCTTTAAAACTAGTTTTTGTGATAGAGTTTTGAATCTGTTTTGGTGAATCGTTTGTTAAAACAGCTTCACCTAGCGTGCAAAATTGTGAAGTACACATACTAACCCTATTTTTTTTTTGTGTTTTCTTTTTTTTTTCCTTTTTCCTTTTTCATTTTTCTTTCCCTCTTTCCTCCTCCTTATCCGCTCATGCGGTATGCCCGCAGCACTGCACGTATCTCCGTCCGCCCTAGCAACCCACCCCAGGCACCGTTGTCCTCGCTGCCCCGTCATCGGCGA